ACGRGGGACTAGCGGACTTATGCCCCCCTCCCCGCCCCAAATAAAAATAAAATAAATAGTTGACCATCAAACATTTTTCGGATTTCTATACAATAATTATAAACAAATACTAAAAATATAAGAAAACATTTTAGTTTAACCCATCAAACAAAAATCCCAGATACGCCCATGAACTACGCATAAGCTTACCGTACCAAAAAAAATAGTGTTCATTTTTAGAATTTACATCAATATTTCTTAAGTAGAGTTTACGCTTTCAAGTCCATATAAGCATTAAGCACCCATAGTTAATATGTCACTTAATACATGGTATTATTAATAGTCAAACTTGGTTAACTCGAATTTTTTTAACTCAAAATATTTGATACTCCRAACTTTTTCCCAGTCCTTAGAATTTCCTATTATTGTATTATCTTTAGACAACTCAAATTCTCGAACTTTCTGTCCAGTCCCAGGCTTACTCTAACTTCGAGTTAATCAAGTCCGACTGTATATAATATGATATTTAAACAACCCATAATATATATTTTAAGTAACTGTATACTTTAAATGTCACAAAGCTCACGCCCATGGTGGTGGTTGATAAGGTTGTGGACTGTTTTCTGCTGTAACTGTACTTTGTACTGGTTGCCGCTGCGTACCGTGTCAATCGTGTAAGTTAAATAAAAATTATATAAGTGATAGGTATTTATTTTTTGTAAATATTTATGTACCAAAGTGCAGGTATATTACAACAGTTTAAAAATAAATTACGCGTGTCTAGTATGATGGATTGTCGCTTCTACAATGATAGGAAAAATATTTATAAATCCTCCAAAGCTATAAAACCTAAGAATAGCATTTTAAAACTCTTAGTTTATCCGAGAGTTCATCGATCAACATAGATAATCGCAACCAATACAAAAAATAAACTCTAACCAAAATAAAACTGAAGGAGCTTTCTACTTTCTACYACAAAATCGCCAAAAACATCTAAAACTAGGCCAAAATCACAAGGCTTTCCTAGAAGACCAACTAGACAACTTACAAACAAAGGTGATGTTTCTTCAAGTTAACCTATTTCTTTATTTTACTGTAAAAACTAAAAACCCTTCAATATATGCTAAGATAGTTCACTAGGTAATTGATTAATTTTTAAAATATTTTGAATAGTTTGTTACAATTACTATAATAGGTTGTAAGCTRTAACTATTTGCACACAATTATTTACTTTTTTTTTTAGTTGTTTACAACATTCTATAGCTTTTATTAGGTGATGTATATTTTAAATTCGCCTTTATTCAACATCAATAAAATATGTTTTTACACGCTAAGAAATAAGAACAAACAAATAAAATATACGTTGGAAATACTAGGAATATTAAATTATTAAATGCAAAGATCGTGTTTACGTAAGTTGTACTTCAGCACCCCTATTTTGTCTGCTTCTTATTTTGGTCTGTCATAAAATTGACAAATGCAAGTTAAAATATATTACGAAAAACAAAATGTAATAAACATTTTAAATATACATGATAAAAGCAGTTAGTAACAATTTTTTTCATTTCATTAAAATATGAAATACATAACTCTTCAACCCCATACATGCGCGATGAATTGTACATACATATAATATAGATAATTACTATGATSAAAAAAAATTGGCCAGTTTAAATGTTGGAAGCCCTATTAAAAAAAATTCAAATGGTACCACTATTAGCAATATTGTAATAAAAAAATATTACTTCCACAACAATCGCTGAATCTTAAGTTAAAGAATTAAGATTTAAGATCATTCAATTATTTAAATCATACATATTATATGATAAACGCACATTTATACATATAATATCTATATAAATTATAAAATACATAGGTGATAGGTATAATTTTAATGTTTAAATGCACGTTTTTTTTTTTTTTTTATTAAAACGAAATACCTATACCTTAGGCGACATAGGCCATTGAGTTACAAATTCACATTTTACTTTTTGAAAAAATTTAAATTGTTTACGTAAACTTTAGTAAAATTTAGTAGAAGTAGACTCATCATATTTTTCTTAATTTTATTATAAACAAGTCTAACAACTATCATACGATTATGAATCACATCCGATATTCGATGGGATTGAACGTGAATTTGACCTGAATTTTCTTATTTAGTAATACTGAATAATTACATAATTTATACCCAGTTAACCTTGTATGAAATTTCTTGAACACACCATGAGTGATAACAAAAAATATCAAACAATATAAAAATGCATTCTAATTGAAAAACTTTTAAATACGAGTAAAATATACTATTAATACGTCAAGATAAAAAAACTTAATTACAAAGTCAAAGTTAAAGTTTTATCCAGACTTTAAAATGCTTTCTAGTACATTTTAGTAATAGTAGTAGAAT